AGCCAATTCAAACATCAATGAAATGGGCCTCGAGTGGGGGGGTGGAGCGTTCGAAACAGACATAAACCACTCTTCGAAACGTCCGAAAGAGTTCCGTTTTCTTCCCCGACTTAACCATGGTAAGGAAGTGGGGAGTAAACTCGAAGCACAATTAAGAGTATTCAAATCCCTGCATCAGAGATGACATCTCCCACCTCCCTCCCCCCCTCCCTCCCCCTCTCCCTCACAAACACGTGACTCCTTTTCGAACGGGTCAATTTCGCTACCCATCGAATCTTTAAATTCATCTGCAATGTTTGATGCCCAGCCTCCAAAAGATTTTTTCTTTCTTTCTTTCTTTTTGTGTAAAAATAACTATATATACTCAACAAAAATGAGAAGAGCCATTTATGCTTAACAAAAAAAAGATGTAGCGGGTTTTTTTTTCTGAAGGGGAGGGGAGGCACGTGGCCAAGACAACAGCATGGCTGGGCTGAGCTCCGAAGTAAAACGTGATATCAAGAAAACGCCACAAACTTTTGTCTCGGAAACTTCCCCCTAACGAATACCCTTCCCTCGCCGTTCTGTCGTGTACTGTGTGTGTTCCTCTCGTGTATTGCCATGTCGTGCGCCTGCAATGCATCAACGAACGGGTGCAAATACACGCACGCGGTCACGAAACTGTTCCGGCAACCTGGTCAAGTTGATGGTACTTAAAAGTCTTGGCGAGCCGGATATAATATCGGAGAAATGTCAGACCAAAACACAAGAAAAAAAAAGTAAAAAAAGAAAAAAAAAATACGTATTAATAATTCACCATCAATAGTCCAGTCTATACAGTCTAAGTTATCCATGGGTGGCGGTCAATGAATCGTTCATACACTTTTCGTAGTGTAAATCAGTACCAAGTGAACCAGACACTGCAGTGATACGCAACAGGAGTCAGGCTTACGTGTCTGGCAGACCTAATTCGCCTCCAGGTCGAAGTGAAGTGTCCCAAACACGTAAAAAAGTGCAGTGGCCACAACATACGCCACTGGATACACTTAAAAATGGAATGCAATATATTCAAGTCCCGAGTCAGTCTGGTTAGTGATGTGAGACAAATCATATAACACAGAATAAGAAACATTCTACCAACACATTAGTAAACACAAGCGGTTAATTGTGTGCCAAGGTGTACCGGAGAAGCAGGTTGCACTAGCAACTTTGAAAGAAAAAAAAAATCCTTCCGTATTTTCTCAACTTGTAAAAGAGGCAACTCATATAACAATGAATTTAAAGAAAGTGTTTGGTGTTACGAGCGACCCAAAAGGGGGGGATGTATGTAAACAAGTGACTAAAGTGAATGGTGCCGAGAAAGGTGTGTACCGGGGGGTGTACCGGGGGTGTACCGGGTTCGTGTAATGTACTGACATGGACTGATATACGGACTGATGCCACAGGTGTGTAACCCACAGTGTACCGTTGGCAAATGACATCACAGTGAACAACCATGAAAGCAGTGATGTTGCAGGATGCCAGGATGAGGGTGAGTGTCACGAAGCAGATGCCAGTATGAGGACAAGTGAGACAGAGCAGAGGCCAGTATGAGGTTAGTGAGACAGCACAGCAGCACTCAGACAAGTTACCCGCGAAATCATGCCACCACAGCACAGCACCAACAGCAGCAGCAGCAGCACAGTGGGCGGTGGTAGGGGGGGGGCGAGTGGGCGTTGGGTTAAAAAAATAATAAAATAAAAATAAAAATAAAGACTTTTAAAAACACAGCATCTAGTTGTGGGCGGACCATACCAACTACTACAGGGGAGGAGAATGGGTGGGCTTGCGGGCGGGCGGGAGAGTGGGGGTGGGGGAGGGAGGGGCTAGTACAACACTACTACTCTGGCGTGGGCGTAAAGGGCGTGTGTGTAGGGGCGTGCGCGACGTGTAGAGCAGCTATTACCTGGTTGTGGCAGGCCGACGGAGGGGCCCAGCTCGGGCAGGGGGGGCGGGGCGTGCGCTGCTGGGGGGTGAGCCTGGGGGTTGTGAACTGCCTGTGGAGGAGGGCCGTGGTGGGCGTGGGCGGCGGGCGGCCCGTGGCTGGCAGGAAGGGCGGGCGCACCGCCTACATGAGCCAACCACCAACATAACACAAGCGTTACTCGACCTCCGCTTATATACGAGAACAATTGTATGTTTCTACCATATTACTCAACACTAGCCTACGGGGCGCTTACTGGGAGGGAGGGCGGAGGGGGGTGGGGGGTAAGAAGGGAGGGAGAGGGGGAGAAGAGGAGGAGGAGAAGGAGACACGTGAGAGAGAGAGAGAGAGAGAGAGAGAGAGAGAGAGAGAGAGAGAGAGAGAGAGAGAGAGAGAGAGAGAGAGAGAAGCAGATGTAACATGGAGGTAAGAGAGAGGTGGAATGACAGCTGAAAAAATGAAGAGAAATTGAGAGAGAGAGAGAGAAAAAAAAAAGGAAAAATCAGCGAAATGCGATGTCTGAGAGAGAAAACAAAGCACGGGAAATAAACGAAGCACCAAAAGAAGCAGATCTTTAAAGAGGGGAAATTCAGGAGACGTCGGGGGTGAGGGGAGGGGGGAGGGGGGAGGGGGAAGGGGGACATAAGCAGGCAGGCATGAAGAGGGAGGGAAGGAGGAATGGGGGGGGGGGGGTGGAGGGAAGGTGGAAAATTGGCGGGGGCAAGGGAAGGGAAATACGACTACCTTATGACCTAAGGACAGCAGAGGATGAGGAGATAATCAAATCACACAATAAAATCAAATTAAACAAAAAGAAAACAAGATAAATCATCATAAGTCCCAAAATCAAATCAAAATCAAAATCAAAAAAATAAATCAATGAAAAAAGAAACACCAATATATGACTTAGCAGATCTTTAAGGGAAAAAAAAGATCCAAAAGCAGAAGAAACGAGTATCAAAAAAAAAAAAAAAAAAAGAGAAGAGAAGGGGGGGGAGGGGAGGGAAATTCTGAGAAACAAGGGATTTTTTCTCCTTTAGAAGAGGAAGGAGGAAGGAAGGAGGGGGGGAGAGGGAGAGATGAAAAAGACACGAGAATTTGAGGGGAGGGCATTAAAAGGCGAAAACGGGGATGAAGGAGAGAAAGGGGGAAGGAGAGATGAGTGGAGAAGGGAGGGAGAAGGGGGGGGGGGGAGAGAAGATGGAAATAAGGGGAGAAGAGGGAAGAAGTGTGGGTGGGGGAGACGGTGGGGGGGGGTGTATGGAGGGGATTTAACGGGGTACAAACAATCACACTTACATCATTCAATTGACATCCCTTTACGACAACCAAACAAACAAATATCATCTCCAAGAAGCGGGGTAAGGGGGGGGGGCGTGTGGGGGGTGTAGGGTCAAAAGGGTAGGGGGGGGAGATGCCGGCACTTTCTTCCAAGATTTGTCTTTCTTTTTTTTTCGTTTTTCTTTTCTTTATACCCGCAAGAATAGGTTTCGCTGATGTTTTTTTTTTATCGGATGAACAGATAACCAATATGTATCTAAAGCCGTAGAAACGTATTCGGATACGTGATACAAGAAGAAGAAGAAGAAAAAAATATATATATAAATTTTCGACCCCCAATTTATCCGCATTCACAAGAAATTGTTCGAACGCGCTGGTCAAATTTCTCTCCTCGGCTCCAGGTTTTTGGAAACGATCAACAGAGCTCTTTCCTTTTCTTTCTCTCTTTTTTTTCTCCTTTCTTTCCCCCTTTTCTTCTTGTTTTTTCTTTCATTTCTCTCGTAAATTTAAACTGGTGGGGAGGGAGGGGGGGTGTCATAACTTATGCTTTTAAAAATTCCCAGGATTTTTATTTTTCTTTTCTTTTTTTTTACGTTCTTATTTAGCAATGGGTATGATATGGAGGGCGAGGTTCAATGAGAGAAATAATAATCAGAATAAGCAAAATAAAAATAATAAAAAAAGAAAAACAATGACAATAACAATAAACCGACGGAATGAAGGGGGGAAAAGGAAGATGAGCTGAAACAATAGAACACAAAATACAATAAACAACAAAACGAAAAATAGGAATAATTTAGAGTACACTAAAAAAAAAAAAAAAAAAAAAAAAAAAAAAAAAAAAAAAAAAACGGACAAAGAAACAGAATGGTCAAAAGACACAAGATACAAAGAAACAGAAACACGACAAAATGGAGAAGAAGAAAATAAAATCGTCTCGAGCAAACAAAACAAGAAAATAACAAAAAAAAAAAAAAAAAAAAAAAAAAAAAAAAAGGAAGGAGAGAATCAGCTGGCCACAGATTCCGCCTTGCACTCTCCAGTCTAATGGCGTTTGCGTCCCCTTGCACCCTCCTGGCATGATCAATTAGCCGTCGCTCTCTTACGCATTCGACCGACACTCGACCGACCCTTCCAGGCGCTGTCTTCACGCACTTGCAATGGGCCACAATTGCACGCTCGAGCATTCATTGCTCTCGCTCGCTCGTGCTCATTTCCATTTCCTTGACTCGCAATTCAATCGCGATTCTGCACACACGCTGACACACGAACACGCGCACGGGCACACGCACACAACCCGAGCACACGCACACATACCGGTACACACGCACGTTCATTAGCACTCCCTCGCTCACACACACACACACACACACACACACACACACACACACACACACACACACACACACACACACACACACACACACACACACACACGCACACAGAGGCCAGTCCTTGCACGCCCTCATTACTCCTTCCGAGATGGACTAAATGGGGGCAATGGCTGAGGGAGAAGCAAGAGGAGGAGGAGGAGGAGGAGGAGGAGGAGGAGGAGGAGGAGGAGGAGGAGGAGGAGGAGGAGGAGGAGGAGGAGGAGGAGGAGGAGAGGGGAAATAGGGGCACCTGAGAAAGTGAGAGAGAGGAGAGTGGGTGGTGGTGGGGGGGAGGGGGGCAGACAAATGAGATAGACACCCCCTCCACCCCTACAAAAAAAAAAGAAAAAAGAAAAAAAAAGAGAGAGAGAGAGAGAAAAAAAAAATGAAGGCATATAAATTCCTCTACTCCACTACCAGCGGCCCGTCGGGTGTGAGAACGGGGGCCGGAGAGGAACAGCTAGCTACTTCATGATCGATTTTTCTTTAGTCTGTAGCCTTCCCCCACCCCCACCCCCTCCACCCCCGCCCGCTACCCCGACCCCCCGGTGAGGCGGAGAGAGAAGGAGAGAGAGAGAGAGAGAGCGAGGGGAGACAGGATAGGGTCAGGAGAGTAGACTGAGGGGAGAGACTGGGAGAGTGGAGACGAGGGGAGACGGGGGGGTGGGGTGGGGGAGGGCAGAGGAGGGGACCCGAACGCAAACATATCTGGGTCAACTCTGGATGCAAGTGAATCGCTTAAACACGGCATACGCCACCGGATACTCTGCCTGAACGTTTTCTTCTATTTTTTTCCCTCCCTCCTCTCTCTCTCTTTTTCGATCCAGAGCGAACACCGCTTTAAGATGCGATTCGAAAAGGGGGAAATGGGGAAAGGGGAAAAGGGGGAAAGGAAGAGACAGTTGGGGGGGAGGAGGTATTTTTCCAGCCTTCGAGAAGCCGGCCGGTAAGGCATCTCTCGCGCGGTGCCAAATCCAAGCTGCGTTTTAATTTTTTTGCGTTTTTTTTTGCGTCTTTTTATTTTTACTCATTTATTCTTTTTTATTTTTTTTTTATTTTTTTTTTTGCTGTTGTAATTTGTGGTTTTGCCATTTCAAACAACAGGGCCAGATTTTGCGATAAAGTGAGAGAGCAAGAAACATCTACAAGATGGCGCGAGACCGAATATGAGAAAACACACAAGGAAAAGAACCATTGGAAGTAAGAAAAAAAAACAAAAAAACAAAAAAATGAAAATGTGACAGCCGAACATAGATGTATAATCACAGTACATTCCAAAACTGTCGTCTCACTCTTCTTAATAATCCAATTAGTATAAATTTAGGTTTCCAGTTTCAAGAACAAGAAAAAAAAATACATATCTATAAAGGAGAGAGATGCACAGAATAAATGAGGACGGGAAAGAATGGGGAGGGATGCTGGGGGGGGGGGGGGGGAAGAGAAGGAAACCAAGAGATAAAGGAGAACAGGAGGGAGGCGAAAAGGAAAATAAACGGTGCGAGAAGGGAGAAAGGGGAACAGAAGGGAGACGAAAGGGGAAGCATACGGTAAGATGAATACGAACAGAAGAAACGAGAGGAGAGGTGAGACGGCAGACGAAAAGGGAAATAAACAAGGAGAGATGAAAGGGGGTTTAAGGGAAAAGGAAAATAAACAGGGAAGGGGAAGCCGAAGTTGAAAAAAAGCGAGAGAGAGAGAGAGAGAGAGAGAGAGAGAGAGAGAGAGAGAGAGAGAGAGAGAGAGAGAGAGAGAGAGAGAGAGAGAGAGAGAGAGAGAGAGAGAGAGAGAATGAGAGAGAATGAAAGAGAGAGAATGAAAGAGAGAATGAGAGAGAGAACGAAAGAGAGAGAGAGACCGAAAGAGAGAAAGAGAAAATGAAAGAGGAAGAAAATGAAAGAGAGAAAGAGAAAATGTGAGAGAGAATGAGAGTGAGGGAGAGAACGAGAGAGAGAGAGAGAGAGAGAGAGAGAGAGAGAGAGAGAGAGAGAGAGAGAGAGAGAGAGAGAGAGAGAGAGAGAGAGACAGCGAGAGGAGGCATACAACGGCAAGAATTAGAAGAATCTTGAGGGAGGGGGGCGGGCCAGGGAAGGCAGGGTGGGCGGGGTGGGCGGCTAGGCCAGAGAGACCTCGGAAGTTGACCATTGGGCCGTCCATTAGGGGCAGCGGCAGAGGCACGCCTTCGAGACGGTTGGGTCGAGAACAGGACCGAAAGTTGCGAAATCCATAGGGCAGGAGGGAGAAGGAAGGGGAAAGGAGGAGGAGGAGGAGGAGGAGGAGGAGGAGGAGGAGGAGGAGGAGGAGGAGGAGGAGGAGGAGGAGGAGGAGGAGGAGGAGAAGGAAGGGGAAAGGAGGAGGAGGAGGAGGAGGAGGAGGAGGAGGAGGAGGAGGAGGAGGAGGAGGAGGAGGAGGAGGAGGAGGAGAAGGAGAAGGAGAGGGAGAAGGAGAGGGAGAAGGAGAAGGAGAAGGAGAAGGAGAAGGAGAAGGAGAAGGAGAAGGAGAAGGAGAAGGAGAAGAAGGAGGAGGAGGAGAAGGAGAAGGAGAAGGAGAAGGAGAAGGAGGAGGAGAAGGACGAAATAGGACCGGAGGGGAAGAGGGGAGGAAGGAGGAAGGGAAAGTGTAAGAAAACGAATAAAGGGGAGAACAGGGGGACACGGGAAATGAAGGAAAGAAGAGAGAAGGGGAGGGAAAGGAAAAGGAAGAGGACGAGGACGAGGAGGATGAGGAAGAAAAAAGGGAGGGGGTATTGGCAAAGGAAAAGGGATCGACGAGAGGATATGGTGGAGAAGAAGCGTGTTGACGAAAACGAGGAAAGGAGAAGAGAAAAAGAAAGTAGGAGAGTAGGGAGAAAGGAAGGAAGAAAGAAGGAGAGGAAAGAAGAGGAATAGAGGAGGAGAAAGTCGGAGA